TTTATTTCACAGGTATGGGTGGAAATTCCCAATTTCTAAAGGATATTGGAAACTGAAGTTTGTTAAGACAGACGTAATTTTAATAATTATATCCTCAAACTATGAGTGGTTTTTAGAAAAGGTTGCATATTTCAATAATCTGAAACCTGGCTTCATTTTAACAGAACGTGTATACTTTATTTTAAAATGTGAATGACTTTTTATTTCACAGGTATGGGTGGAAATTCCCACAAACTAAAGGATATTGGAAACTGAAGTTTGTTAAGACATTAAGAAGTCCTTGTTGAACGACCACCCGTTCAGTGACCAAAGTTATGACAGATCTAAACAAGGGGGACTTACGACAGGTTCTCATAGTTGTGATCATCACGGCATCCCCATGGTCACATGATCACAATTTGGGTGCTTGGCAAATGGTCACATGATCGCCATTTGCAACCTTCACTGCCAGCTTCCAACAAGCAAAGTCAGTGAGGAAGCCAGTAGGAGGTCGGTGGATTATGTGACCATGGGATGCTGTGACCACATGGGATTCATGTAACAATGGCAACTGGGACTGCCACAATTGCCATTGTAAGTTGGCACAGTCACATGACATCATGCGTGATGGCTATGTCACTTAGCAACAGAGTTGCTGGTCCCAGTTACCGTTGTTAAGTGAAGATTACCTGGATTCATTACTAATCTCCTATGTCTTGGGAATGAGAATCCATATAAACAACAATATGGTTAGGCTCCGAGATGAGGGTGGACAGTCTGATGCACCAAGGCCCGTGAAGCTCTGAGAACTTTCTTAGGGCTTCCTCCAAATACAATTTAATAATCAGTGGCATGAACTTCTACCATTCTGAGGCAGGAAACACAAAATGATCACATAAGCCTCAAAACAGAATTAACCTGGTTTAAAAAACCAAATCAACCAAACACCCAAAAAGCTCAATAGAGAGAGAGAAGAAATAATAGAACATCCTTGGCCCAGCCATACACAGTACATGCTCTACCATTGCCAAGTAGAAGTCCATAGCTCCCCACTCCTAAATGTTGCTCACCCTAAAATTATCTCTTACCTTTGCTTGGACCATTAACTTTGTCCTCAACTTCCACAGGTGATAGATATCGACCGGCCAGAAGGTTCAAAGTTCCGAATTTTTGGGAAAGGAGTAGAACAGGAACCAAAGGGAATTTTCAAGATCATTGAAGGCACAGGAGAAGTCTTTGTAACACAACAACTTGATAGAGAAGCCATTGCTACATACGAGGTGAGTAATCCTGGACTGTGTTTATACATGTTCTCCTCTCTCTCTTTCTCTCCTTCCAGTCTTCATTTTTACTGAGTTGGTGAGCTGTGTTTGTGTTACCCTGGTATATCAATATACTGGGATACTGTAACATGTTGGACAAAGTTGAGATAGGAAATGTATAACATTGGATGTAATGAGGACTAAACTCAGCAGATCTCAGATCCCTTTTGTTCTTTGACACCTGTCAAATTCTGGAATACAGCTGTGACTTCCACCAGCTCAAGGGTGGCTCTGGTATGGCTCTGTGTCAAAGACTACACTTCAGAAGTCGGTGGGGCCAAGGACATTTTGAGAACGGGGTTCAGAGTTCTAAGGGGTGAAATGGGTACCTGAAGCCTCTTGTCCTAGGTTCCCAGAATGCAAGGGATGGTCACAAAGTGTTGGTCTCACCCCTGGTGGAAGGCTTTTTGAAGGCCACACACTGCTTCTGATCTTTTGTGCTTCTGGTCTGGTCTGTGAATGTGGAAGAACCTGGTGCTTGGAGAAAGAGAAAAAGGATGAGAGAGAAAAGGGAGTCTCAGAAAGAAAACAGCTTCCAATATTGGTTCTGGACCCACCCACCATTTTTTCAGCTCTATTTACCATTAGTAGGTTGTTCATGATGAGGGCATATGCTATATTTATGGATTGCTGCACTGGGCAGGGGGTTGGACTAGATCAGTGTTTTTCAAACTTGGCAACTTTAAGACGTATGGACTTCAACTCCCAGAATTCCCCAGCCAGCATGGGGATGATGGGGAACTACTTCCTTGTTGATTGGAAACATTGCCTCTAGTGAGCTCACTTGGGCAGTCCAGCAATGCCTCTGGTGGAAGAAGTCACTTTGCCCAGGTCTAACATGAATGGACATTTGCAAGAAATAAATGATTGGTTTAAAAATAAACTTGTAGGTGAATTCCTAAAAACCTGTGATACAGACTAGACTTATAGTGATCCACACATCATGAGTTGAACGGCTACTTCACTTTCATTTAACTAGAGAATAGGGAATAACAGGTGTTTGGCATTTATTATTCCCAATTCTAACGCTGTAGTCTCTGCTGCTTTCATTAGGCATCAACCGCTATGCAGCAAAAGCCCTTTCTCATATTAAGTCAAAGCAGTATACACATTGGAGCTATTATAATACATCTTCAATTTCTACCCCAATTTATTTCTTCCGGCACGGCCTTTTTCCTTTCCTCCCTTTAATCTTTGCAAGCCACGTTAAAAAAAAATAAAATGCACCATGTTAGATGAGCCAGAAAGTAGATGCAAATGGATACCATCATGCGCCTCCCATTCCTTCTGTGTGGCCCATCATATAATTCCACACACAGCAGGCTGGTTGGAGCCCCATTGAGCAAACTACAAAGTTCAGCAGAAAGAGAGTGCACAACTTGATTAGTCAGTCTTTGGAAAAACAGAGAACTGCACTCCATGAAGATGTACTGTGAAGTCTAGGAAACTCCTCTCCCCCCGCCCTCCAGGGCCCCATGTGATTTTCATTGATATATGAAAGCATTTGGGTCGCCTGAAAATATCTTCAGTTGCTGGAATATTTCTTGTTTCTTTTTAATTTCCTGTATTTGGGGCTTATGAATTATTTGAAAAGCACAAATGAGGTTGAAAGACAAGCGTAGCAAATTCTCCATGGAAAGGTATCACGATTTTCGGAGTTGTCAGGGCCACAGAATAGAAATTTGGTGCTCTGCCAAAGTGGAAATGATACATGTGCCATGTAGTCTATCGACTTGAAAGATGAGCCCAACTCTTTCAAAGGGTAACCACAATGCCGAAATGTTGGTGGCGCTCGCCTTCCCTCTCTGTAAGTTTTGCTGGCATTCCAGTCTGGCGCAAGGTGCCATTAAACTAGACCAATGTTTCTCAACCTTGGCCACTTTAAGATGTGTGGACTTCAAATCCCAGAATTCCTCAGCCAGCCGTGCTGGCTGGGGAGTTCTGGGAGTTGAAGTCCACATGCCTTAAAGTGGCCAAGGTTGAGAAACACTGACCTAGAGTGAATGGAAAAGCTGAAAGCCTTTCAAATAGAGAACACCATTGCTCTTCATGGGGCAATGCCCACTCCTGAACAGGAGCACATCTCTCATCCAAGGACCACAAGTCATTTCTAAGAGAGTGATTTGATCATTACTAGCATGGCATAAATGTCTCTTGTGTTGATCATTGATTAGACGTGCATTTAATTTAGGTCAGCCAAGCAATCTAATTCACGGTGATACTTCAATCTCAATTTTTTTTTAAAAAAAGCAAGTCCCTCTTGTTTAACGTACATGGATTAAAGCAAACTGAGGTTTACCGCCAATACTTTGCTTTGATCCTCTGCTTCAGTGGAGAAAAGGGGATTTTGAGTGTGTGAATGAATGCGCATTATGAAACAGATCAATGTGGCATGGTCACTTCCACTGACATCTCCACTTGTGGCCCCACTTCAGCTCAGTGCTTCATTTAAAGGGGGGTTCTTTGATCGAAGTTTCATCAAACCCAGAGGCCCCTTTAAAGCTCCACTTATCCCTATTATTTATGAACTCATCTTTATGAAGATATCCTTATCCAGAGCAGTGTTTCAGGCAGGCCATTGCTATATATTGTCCATCTAACTGGAAGAAATTCTTTTGCGTCTCAGGGTGGATGCAGAACATCTTTCTAACTGGAAGTGGTAATATTTACTATAGACCTTTTAGTAAGCATGTTATAAGAGTGAGTTAGTACCTTCCTATTATTCCATATTTATTATACCAGTCCATGGATATTGCAATCTCTTAAACTGAGGAGGAAAACATAAAATCATAACAGAGGTCATTGCAATTTAAAAATAAAACAGGGAAGGAATTCTTATTAGTTAATCAAATTAATCTCCCCCTTTTCTGCTAGATGACATGGATTTTCATACATTTGGTAATTTATGAATTACCCTGCTCATCTCCGTAAACAACCTGAAAATTTATTCCATAAATGATAATAATAAATTCAACTATATGGATGGGAGGTATTAATACATTAACCACCTGGCATTTGTGACAGATAATTTATAGTTAACAATCAGGTTCCAAAGTAATTTTATTTCTTAAAATTGAAAATGTCTTTTCGCTTCACAGAGGATGCTTAGCTAAATTCAGAGTTGACAAAACCCCCTGATTACTGCAAAGTATTTTTTGGCACAGTAATGTGCAAAATATGGAAAACTAAAGCCGTTTTAAGAAGAACCATTATTCTGGTGCCCCTCAGTAGATACTGAACGTGAAGTCTGGTTTCAAGGAGTTAATCCATTTTCTGTATGGACTGGAATGCAAGGCTGAGGTAGAAGCAGATGAAAATGTTACATGATAACAGAAATGAGATTCCTTGTTTACCCAGAAATACACCAGAGGTCCATCTAATCTACCATCTTATCCCCTGCGTTGGCCTACCACACCAGGAAGCCCACAAACAGGGCTGAAGGCAACTAATTTATATTTTTGTTTCCCCAGAAATCAGCCCTTGTTGCTCCTAAGCATTGAGATTCTGCTACTCAAGCACTTAAAAAGTTAAACTTAGTAGGGTGAAAAAAAACCCTTTTTTAAAAAAATTTCCCAACTAAGATATGTTGACTGTAGTTCTTCCCTTTGGGACAGATCTTTGAGGATCCTTTGTTGAATTTCTGCCACAGAGGTCACTATGTTGTTTCTGTAATGAGCTTGAGCCCTTGATCCTGCAGTCTTTCTGCTTAGCCTAAACTGAGGTCTTCAGCATCATGGACAGGTCACCGTGGGATTACTTACAAGGCAGACCTCCTAAGAAACAATCTAACTAACAGAATGTTTGAGATGTTGTCTCCGTAATCTGGAAGCAACTGGGATTCTAAATATAGTTCTACAGTGAGCCAAGTGTTGTGTCTAGTTGGGCTTAAAGGAAATTGGCAAATGATCTGAAAGTTCATTGCTTCCTGGATGGTGTGCTACTACCCTGTCCTGTGCTAATGTAAGAAGAATCTCCATCTGGAAGGTGTTCTACAGACAAATGCCTTGTGTCAGTAGAATGGAATAGGGCTATTTCCCCATTAGAAAGACACATTGGAAAAATGATCATATCTGGAACTTTTCTGGGATGGCTTAAACTCTCTCGTCCCACCCACACATTCCATCTTCAATATTAATGGACCACGTTTAAGAGACAGAGTAGAGAAATGTTCTTCTCCATTTGGCAGACACATGTCTGTCATCAGTATTTGATATCATTTCCCTCCCCGCCCTTTTCCAGATCTCTATTTAATATCCCAATTAATCTGCTCTGGAGAAGCAGTGCTATTTCCTGATTTCTTTTATACAGCTGCCAGCGTAATTGGGTTGAATGTTTCCTGTTGGTGTCATTATCAAAAGCGCGGGAGTCATGTATAGGGAGACAGCATGTCACTGCCAGGGAAGAGAGGAAGAATAGAAGAACAGAAGAATGAAAGGACTTAACAGCTGATTTCACAGCTGCTTCATGTTAAGCATTTTCTAAGTTTTGTTTTAGATCTACACCTTTCATAGGAGAAAAAATAGGAATCCTTATGAAAGAAGAATGCTTGTGTTCATCAAAATAAGGATTGTGCATTTCATTTGGTCAATGCTGTCTTTTCTTCTTCTTCTTTTCCGTGATGTGTGGCAGAGATTTTATGGAGGGTTGAGGAGGAGGGAAATGATAAAAGCTGGGTCACCATGGGTCACCCTTTGGGTGCACGTTGTGATGTGGCATGCACACACGAAAGGGGTGGGGCTTGCATTGCAATGGCACAACATTGCTCTTGTCATGATGATATCCCACTGCCTTTTAAATGTACTCAATTCAGCTGCTCCAAATGATTGGCAGCCTCCATTTAACCTTGCCATTTTCCTATTTTCTTTATATACTCAATCTATTTTCCTTTATGACTGCTCTATATTTTCCTCTGATTGCCTGTATGTCATGTTAGAGTTTTAAAGCCCCTGTCTCTGGCC